AAGGTTTGGCGGGATATGGGTCAGGAGCAGACAGGTGGGACTAGTTTAGTTTGGGATTATGTTTGGCATGGACTGGTTGGGCCAAAGGGCCTGTTTCCGTGCTTTCCAAACTCTATGATTTCTTTGCGGATGACTTTTAAATCTGTGCCCACTAGTTCTCGATCTGAAATGGGAAGAGTTTCTCACTCTCTACTTCACCAGAGATCACTCATGGTCTCGAACACCTCACTCCAATATCCGTTCAACTCTCTCCAAGTAGAACAGTCCCAGCTGCACCAATCTATCCAAAGTGTATCATCCCCTTCGATCGTTCCTATAAATGTTTCCTGCACCATCTCCAGTGCCTTTGCATCCTGCCTAAACTGTGGTGTGCCTCTTTTGTGGACTTTACAGCTCTTATCCTTGCTTGTTCTTTGTGTCCTTGTGGTGGCTCCTCCGTCTGTCTTTAAAGGGCTAATGTGAATACTTGGCAGTTTTGTAACTGAATTGTGGCCTTCAATGTTATGGAGGGATTTGGTAGGCTGGGTATCGGGATGATATTCCCATTTGTGGAGGAGGCAGATCCAAAACATACAGGTCATTAATTTAAGATAGCCACTTCAAATCCACTAAGGAAGTTAAGAGAAAACTCTTTATCCAGAAAATGGTTAGAATGTGGAATTTACTACCCGACGGAATAATTGAGACATGAAGCAATGATACATCTATGGTAATCTGGTTAAACACATGCTAGAGAATGGAATTTGAAGATAAGAGATGATGTAGGAAGAGCAGACTGAAGAGGCTGAGTGGCCTACTATTGTTCCTAATTCATACATTCAAGTGTGCTTGTGTGAAGTATGAACAACAAATGGATTTATGATGTTGGATGACCTGTTTCTGGTATAATATGCACTGTAATTATAGGTACACTAGAAGAATGCAAGGGAGTTGGCTGGCAGAATTGTCCTGTAATGCCAGACCGTCTTTTACAGCATTGTGACTTCTCCGATCGGGAATTTGTATGATTGGGAATTCTGAAACTCCCATCAACCAGATAGAGAGCAAGTCAATCAAATGAATGTAGCTATGTCAGGTTTTTATCCTCCATTACTCTAATGAGTGATATTGCAAACCTGTCACTCCCTCTTGTCAGAGAGATCAGCACGTTGGATTTGAGGATTGTTAGTTTTGACTTTGAATCACACAAATTAATGGCAAAGAGCAAACATGTGCTTCATACCATTTGCCTGTTTCCATCTCTCTTGAGCCTTCTATCCTGCCTTTTTGAAACATCCCTGCAGAGAGGCTTTGAAATGGAACAGCTGTGCTTTCTTATTGATTGGAAGATTAGCAAGTGAAGATTAAAGACAGCAAGACTAATGGGCATTTTATATGGAACAAAACCTGTGCAAATGCCTAAAACTTCACCCATATGATAGTCAGAGGCAGAATCTACAATATCCGTCATTAGTGTCAGCTTATTAGTGGAAGAAAGGTTCAAAGTGGTTGTCGGGAAGACCTTGCAAATGTTGTGTCGCTTTTTACTACACCCAAATGTCCCATCTTTAATGAGCAGTGAAGGCGTTTGAAGTGTAGTCACAGTTGTAGGAAATGTGGCAGCCCATTTGTGCACAGCAAGTCACATACAATGACCATTTGTTTTAGTGACCTTTCTTTGAGAAATTAGCAGTGACTGCTCTTCTTCAAGTTGTATCTTTCACGTCCAACTGAGTGGGCAGTTCGAGCCTCAGTCTAATGCCTCATCTTTGAGCATCTTCAATTACTGATGCCTGTGTTTGCTGCACTGCCTTGTCAGCCTGGGTTTTTATGTTTGTGCCTTTGGATCAGGCATCAATCCCACAAATCTGGTGCAAATGATACCTGTTGAGCTAAGGGCTGGTTTCAACTGTCAAAGATTTTCTGCAGTCCCTGCTAGATAATAAAGAATGGCAGATAGCGACCTGGATCATCTTGTCCTTCAGGGGAAATAGTGAGTGATTGGCAGTTGACTTAAACACTTTTGCCACTGAATCATTATTGGTTCATTTGCAGCACTGAGGCACCCAAAAATGGAAGGTCAAGAATTAAAATGTACACCTTCTACACGAACTGTGTTAGGACCATTCAAGGCTCCAAGCTGGTGCTCACTGAATAGTCCAGGACAGTGAGGGCACCAAAGCAAGTTCATTTAATGAGTTATCTTTATCGTAACTCTATCTAAATGTAGGGACATAAACAGAAGATCTGTTCCTTCTGAAAGCCCACACAGGCGTGATTGGATGAATGGCTTCCTTCAGTGCTGTACCAATTCTGAAGTACCCAGTATGAAATGAGGAATTGGGTGTTGCGAAGAGAAGTGGGTTAAAGAGTCAGCAGTTTGGTCATAAATCTTATCAGAGAGGTGATGGGTAATAGTGACCATAGTGTTAATGTCACTGGATGAGTAATCCAGGGGGCCCAGGCTAATCATCTGAGAATAGAGGTTTAGGTATTTTCTATGCAACCTGCTCAGAGATATTATTACATACCTCTGGACCAGGTGGGACTTGAACCCAGGTTTCCTTTTCCAGAGATAGGGACAGTACCACTGCACTACAAGAGCCTGAACACAGGTTTAAACCCATCTTGGCAGCTGGAGGAATTTAAATTCAATTAATGAAATTTGGATTTGAAAGCCAACCAGCAGTAATGTTGGCTGTGATCACTACCATTGTCATAAACAAAATCCATCTGGATTATTAATGTCCTTTTAAGGAAGGAAATCGGCCTTCCTTACCCAGTCTGGTCTACATATATCTTATCATCTCCCGTAGTGTGGTTACTCTTAACTGATCTCTGAAATGGGCAAACTAGAGCATATAAGGATGGGCAACAACTTGCATGGCCTCTCAAGTGATACCCATGTCCCATCAAAGGTTTGAAAAAAAGAGAGGTCCTTATAGTTGTAGTGTATAAATTGTCTCCCTTGCATTATATACATCCAACTACAATTTCTTATGTCAGGCAAATCCGGCAGACATAAAATTAGAAAGTGCTGGAGAAACTCATCAGGTGTGGCAGTATCTGTGGAACTACTAATAGTTTTGAACAATCATCATTGGGCTTGAAACATTAATTTTATTTCTCACTCCACGGATGCTGCCAGAGCTTCTGAGTTTCGCCAGCACTTTGTTTTTATTTCAGACCTCCAGCATCCAAGGTAAGTTGCTTGAATTCAGCGAAAGTTTGGATTTGAGAATTGGACCTGGAAGACTAAGCAGCCGGAATATAATGATAAAGTCATGATTGGAGTCAGGTTTTTGTTTTTACAAGGAAAAATTGTTGCCAGCAACTGGTGTTACATTAATAGGGAGCCAAAAACTGAGATGTGTAGGAAATGAAGAAGTTCACACAAGTGGGTGCTGTTCTGAAATTAGGCCCAAGCAGAGGGAGCATCATCTTGTGCTCAACAATGCAACAGTACAGGTGGAGTGATTAAGTCTAGCTGGTTCAACATAGGAAAGTAATTTGCTTCACACCGTAACGCGCACACACAGCCACCCCCATATAATTGCATATAATTATACATTCATATACATTTCATGTTGGACATACAGCCAAGGGATTTTGCATGGATTACAGTCCCCTGGTGTTTTCAGTGAGCGGGTTCGAAACATAAACTGGTGTTAAGGGAATATCCCAAATGTCTCTTATTCAAGCTGACATGCTCTTTGAGTATGCTTAACATTTAATGTTGGGTTGATCCTGACAAGACTAATGTTGTATAGGTCAAAGTCATTTTGCAAAAATGCCCCAAATCTGGCAAAGCCAAGTTGTCAATTTGCATTGCTGGATTCTTGTTTGCTGTTCAAGCGCTCATCCTGATATGTTCTGTTCCAATAAGAATGAAGGATAGTAATTGAGCTAATCTTTACACAGCCTTACAATTGTGTAAAGAGTAAAATCTTACAAGAATATGGCCCCTAATTCAACTGTCAGTGTCCCTTTATATACGTTCAACCTGATCATGCTGTTCAGAGATGTCATTGCACACCTCAGGAGCAGGTGGGACTTGAACATGAGTCTTTTGGTCCAGGGGTAGGGATTACTTACGTTCAAATGAAAGCTCGATTTAAAATACTCCACATGCATATAATTAAACGCAATTCACATGCAATTAACATAATGCCGCACAGAAATCATATTTAAAAGGACCTTGCTTTGCTTGGACCTTACACTGCAAGATGCTACCTTTGGTTGCTGTTGTTAAGTGTTAATGTTAACATCGGCAAACCTGATGGAGTAAACAGTTGTAGGGTTGTCAGTTCTGGTCGGATGAATTACTGGAGATAGCAGGAACTGCACATGATGGAGAATCTGAGATAACAAGGTGTTCAAAGATAGCAGGGTCTAGGCCTGAAACGTCAGCCTTCCTGCTCCTATGATGCTGCTTGGCCTGCTGTGTTCATCCAGCTCTGCACCTTGTTATCTCTGAATTACTGGAGGTTTTATTACAAGACTCCCTCCATTGGCTCGTTTTCCAGACCTCCCATTGCCAGTTGAATAGAGGAAACAGACTCAAGTTACTGCGTTAAATTCATCCTGTCAGTGAAACAGTCCTGTTCCCTCACCACCACGTCCCCGCCCCCATGTTTTTGTAACTAATATATTAAAGTGTTTGGAAAAAAAACGAAGTTTTAAAAATTTCCTTCAATGTTTTTTTTCTCTCTCTCTCTCTTTTGATTTAATCATGGCAACGTCCTGGAGGTGAATCTTTGATTCTTGGAGATTGCAACAAAATCCTAAGGATTGACAATTCTGACTGCACATGAACGGGACAGTGAGAAATGGGAGCTGGTGTCTGGTATGCTGAAAACGTTTAGCAGGGAGTGGGGCCTGAAGTTTGTACAAGGTGCACAGGCTGCAGACGCTCGAATGTGGGAAATTCACCCGTAGACGTCATGAAACCTGATACCAGACTAGCTGGGGGTGGGCTCAGTGACATCTGCTATTGTGAGAACTGGGAGCATAGAACTGTGGTTACTGTGAAGGCTGCAGTTAATTATAGGCGGTGAACTATCCAGCCTTTCTTGTACTTTTTTTAAAAAATCCACCTGGGAGAACCATTAATGCAGAAAGATATGTCCAAATATTGTCGTTTTCAGCCCTCAGCACGTTTATTTTGAAGCTATTTAAACTCCAGTTCTCCTTCCTGGATCACTTTAACGATGCACGTTGTGGTCACTGTCAAACTGGATCTATAAACTCCCATCCCACCGCCTCCCAGAGGGTTTACTGTTGAGAATTTGGTGCGGGTGGATTTCTTGGTGCAGTGGGTGAGTAGTATCGAACTGAAGTTTCGTTTAGCTTGTTTAGTTTCTCAGTTCAATGCGCAGAATTTGCAATTTACTCAACACCGAACAGAAATTAAAGACAAAACACTGCGGGGGTACTGGAAATCTGAAATCAAAACAGGAAATGCAGAAGAAACTCAGCAGGTCTGGCAGCATTTGCGGAGAGAGAAACAGAGTTAAACTTTTCAGTCCAGTCTGACTTCTTCGGGACTGAACAGAAATGTCCCCTTTGGCAGTTTAGCAGTGAGTGATTGTCTGAAGAGGGGTTAATCGCAAAAGGAGGTAACCTAAACATGATTAATTCCATATGATTCAGAAAGGGTAAGAGTAAACAGTATCTGCTGTCATAGTGTGCATCGTGAATGAAGTGTAAAAGCTGGGAATTTGGTAATGGTGGGGGGTAGGAAAGGTGGTACAGAAATGCAGCTTTCTTGGCTCCAACATTTATGGTTCATGTTGCATGCAAGTAAATTGACACTTAGTTCATCTGCAAATGAAGTTTGATAAAGTAATTAGTTTAACTAAAGACAGCACCCTTACAACTACATGGACAGTAAGTATCTGCATCTGGAACAAAAACAGAAATTGCTGAAAAAGCTCAGCTGATCTGGCAGCATGGCTGGAGAGAAATCAGAGTTAACATTTTGGATCAAGTGACCCTTCCTCAAAACTGGAGAAACTTCAGCACCCAGCTTTTGAGCTGAGTGTAAGGTTTTGGGACATCAGGGAAGGGATGGGGTGGGGAAGAGTAATGGGACACTCATAGGTTGGGAAGAGGTACTGTTCTGGTTAGTGATTATGAGCGGGAACTTATGACCGCATGGCAGAAAGACGGGGTGGGGGAATGGTTTTGTGTTTAGCAGACTGTGTTTTTGCCACCTGTATAGATGAACAAAGTGACCACAGTATCATGGTACTGATGTGCCTGTATAGCCTACCTCTTAGAGTTTTAAAAAAGGTGGCTGCAAAAATACTACATGCACTGTTTGTGACCTTCCAAACTTTCCTAGATTCTGGAACTACGCCGGTGGATTGGAAAGTGGCAAATTTGACGCCATTCTATCAGACAGGACTTCAGTTGGCCTGGTCACTTGTTGATTCTTATCTGCTGACATTTGTGAGGGCAGGACCTGTTTTGGCTGGATTGCCCATCCAGTAGCTATTTTCCTTTTTTTTTCCCCAGTCGCCGTGGGAATGTGGATGAGATTACTGAGCTCTTGCTAATTCCTTGCACATTGTCAGATCAGTGCTTTCATTGACCAGGGGCGTAATTCCGACACATCAGGCAAACTACACAAGAGCTACTGTCCCTCACATTTAAGCGGTTTGTTCTGTGTTCCATCGGGTAATCATACTGCAGCTGTTGTGACAGACAAATGTTGACAGTTGGCATAGGTATTTGGGTGGAGTGGGTGTGGAAGGCTGGCTTGGTATAATGAATAAAGTTGTTACACTTGCACAGATGGATTGGCAGAGAAAGAGATGCACGGTTGGCATATTGTGTGAACGGGTCATTGGACATGAATGCAGCTGGTGCAGTTGGCATGCTTTTAAAATGGCTTCAGCAGAACCGCAGTTGACATGTTGAAGTTCATTCACTTTACCGTCAGCAATGCCATAAATTAGTTACTGATGGCCCCTCTTCCCAAAAGGGTAAAGCCTCTCAATGGGCATTTTCCACACGAAGCAGTCATGTCACAGAAGGTGAGAATGAAAGTGGCTGAACAGGTTTGCTGCATGTAACCTCAGGGTTTAGAAAGGCTTGTGTCACATGCCTGTTCGGGATTGATAGAACGGTTGTAGCACAGAAGGAGGCAAGTTGACCTATTGGATCTGTGCATGTCTGTAAGGGAGATGGTCCCACTTCCTTGCCCTTTCTCAGTAGCCTTGCATTTTTGTTTGTAATCTTTAGCTGCTTATCTAATTCCCTTTTGAAAGCCAGGATTGACTCCTCTCCACACTCACAGGCAACGTGTAGAACATTTATCTTCATGTCGGAGTTTGTTCCTTTGGATTTGAGGAGGAGCCGCATTCCTCCTTCAGAAAATTCCCACCAAAAGCAGATCAACCAGTGAACCAACCATGTGCTGCCTGTGGGATTTTACTGTGCTCACAGTTTTTGCCATGTATGTGTTTAAATAACATCCACTCATAACATGCTCCTATGAAAGGGTATTGGGACTGTTTACAATGTTAGAGAGGCAAAATAAATACCAGTTGACACCATTGAGACAGACCATCGAGTGAATGCTGGATCAGGCTGAAGGGGCTGAATGGCCTTTTGTACCTGGAAACAATAATGACTGCAGATGCCGGAAGCCAAAGTCCATAGGTGTGAGGCTGGAAAAGCACAGCAGGTCATACCCCATCAGAGGAGCAGGAAAGTTGGGCTGAAACCCTTTGTCAGCCTTCTGTACCTATTCTGTCTATAACTGAGACAGTCACCTCTCCAGTGATCTTATGTCTTTTTTTAATTCATTCATGGGATGAGAGTGTCACTGGCTAGACAGAATTTATTGCCCATCCCTAATTGCCCACAGGGCAGTTCAGAGTCAACCACATTGCTATGGGTCTGGCATCACATGTAGGCCAGACCAGGTAAGGATGGCAGTTTCCTTCCCTAAAGGGCATTAGTGAACCAGATGGGTTTTTCTGACAACTGACAATGGATTCACGGTCATCATTGGACACTTAATTCCAGGTATTTATCGAATTCAAATTCCACCATTTGCCCTGGCAAGATTCGAACCTGGGTCCCCAGAATGTTAGCTGGGTCTCCGGATTAACAGTCCGGCGATAATACCACTAGGCCATTGCTTTCCCCATGTTGTAATGTTTAAAATACCATTGATTGTGTTGCTGAGAGATTCAGAACAGGAACCTAACAGGATCAAGCACCGGCCTCATTGATCTAGGAGCTGGTGACGTGAGGCACCATAATCGAGGTGTCCTGGATAGAAAAGAGAAACATTGGAACAGTTGTCGAAAGCTGCAATTTTTACACCGTGACATCTGTTTCTTTACTTCCCCTACACCTTCCTTTACCAGCCACCCATCCAAGTGTTCTATGTAAATGTGAGAAACAGATGGGGAGAGGTGTTTGCTTGAGCCATTATGCTTCCTGCTGTTGAATGGCTCATTGGCCGAGCAGGTATGATGAAAGAGTAAAAATGGCTGCTTCTGGAATGTGGAATGGTTGCTTCAGGAAGGTGTAATTGAGCGTTAGTCAGCATGAGTCAGCAGCTCCAGGAGAGAGTGTGAATATCACCGAAACAGATTGTCATGTCGATGTGTAGATGCATCCCTTCCTATTGCAGGGCGAAACGCAGCAGGAATATCCTATATTCAGTCTCGTGCCCATGCTGAGTCAACTCATGGGAACTGGGCAGGAGATGGAGCAGTGTAGTTGAACACAGTCACCTGGAGTTTGGATGGATTTGAGGCTGTCGCCAGTTTGCTCTTGCAAATCACAAGCGGTTTCCTTATGGACCACAGAGAGAAATTGGCAATGGCAGCCCATTAATTTTTAACGTCTTGGTCCCTGTCAGCTTTTTCTCGAGGACCAAAGAAACTAATTGCAAATCCTGGAGGAAGAAAACATTCAGTAATTAACACTTAATGCATTTTTAATGGGTAGCTGAAATGAACTGTTGTGCCTTTTTGATTTTCTGTATTGAGGTTTGGTTTATATTAATTATGCAATTTCCTGCTGTTTGGTGCATGTCAGTGGTGAGGGAGACGGTGAGATGCTATTCCCACAAAGCGAATGGCAAACTGACATTAACCTAAACTTCTGGGCATTCATATTTAACCATGAATCTGGCCCTTGCCTATGGTACTATAGCATTTGTGTGTAAATAACCCTGAGAGCCACTGGTCTCACCGATTAATTTAAGTGAAAATTATGGGCTGTTATTTTAACTGACCAATAGAAAGTGATGCTTCTCCTCACCACTGACAGCCTCCCAGCTTTTTGATGCTCCATCTTCCAAAATTGTGCCCACTTGAAATGATGATGCTTACATTAAAATCACTCAGCTCCTGCTGTTCGTAAGGTCAGCTGTGACCCTTCAATTGTCTGAAGTTGGCCTTTGGGTATTAGGCACTTTGTGAAATTGAACAAAGGTGGGAGAATCCACAGAAGTAGGAATGTGTGATGATACTGACTTATTTCCCCAGTCAGTTTCAATTTATCTGTCTGAGTAGGTCAGTTTTAATAGCGATCTCGACTATCTTTGCAATCTCTGATTATTTTTTACATTTCTGTGAAATCCTTTTCCGTGAAACCTAACTTGCTCCCAGAATCCTTTTTGTAAAGAAATCTATGTTTTTTTTTAAAAAAAATCATGATGTGGAGGTGCTGGTGTTGGACTGGGCTGGGCAAAGGCACACACCAGGTTATAACCCGACAGGTTTATTTGAAATCACAAGCTTTCGAAGC